TCCAGTGTTTCCAACAGCATTTGAAGAAATTTGAACCCGCCCTCTTGCTCAATTTCATCAAGTGCATCCACAATTACCAGGACAGGTGGAAGATCGGGAGAACGGGTCACTATGGCGTCCTTCCACGGTTGAACAAACAGCACCTCCATTTGTTTTGAGAGGACTTCCATAGCCAACTCAGTTGGTGTACGACAAAGAGCAGATGCAAAGGCTCTGGACTGCCAGCACAGCTGGTATACAATGGTTGGTATGATGTAAACTTGTCGTCTTGCGTCATCAAATTTGCGAGAGCAAAAAAAGGTAAGTGGACGCGGAAAACCCTTTGTGGTGTCAAAGTGGTGTGCTATGGTCCGAGCAATAGTCGATTTTCCGGATCCACCCTCGCCATCCATCCAAAACACGGGTGAAGAGGTTGGGTCAGAAGCCCAGGTCTTTATTTTCTCCAGCACAGAATAACGGGTTCCATCTGTGCATATACTTTGATCAATTGACCCAGGATCAACATCTGTTGGAGATATATTCCATTGTGCATGTTTAGAGCGAACCCAATTGTTCAAGAGCAACCGCTATCTTGTGAATTAGCTGCTCAATTAAAACAAGCTAGATGCTTTGACATACCTCAATATTGTCTTTGATACCTTCCAAATTCAATTCAATGCACAGTGAGATATCCAACTGAAGGATAATTTTTAGCTCAAACTTCAGACATAAATGGGATAACCACTGACTTGGAATTTCGTTGTCTGTTCCTGAATCTCTCTCACAAAACGCGCAACCCGGGCCCTATTCTCGGAGCTTTTGAGAACGGCTTTCCATGTTTGTCTACCACAAATATCTTGCATGGCGTGAAGGTTGTCCCCAAGAACCCTGGCAAATTTTACTTATTCAGACCCGGTTATGAGCTGCTGCGCGCGTGACATACTTTACAAAGTCTTCAGCAGCAGACTTTATATCCCTGTATACAATATGTACTTAGGAGACTCGATGTAGCTGAATTGGGTAAATCACGCACGAGGACACCTTGGTTTCATCAAGCCTTGAGTCCACAGCTTCCAGACGGCTCTTCACGAGATTACAAAGCTGTGAAAGATCCTCTTTGTTATCTTTCACAGCCTATCCAATATTCAATATATATATTGCTGCCATAATGCTCGAGCTACTCACGTTGGCAATATCCGTGAGGACATTTACCGCTTTGACTACATTACCTGCGATCGGTACGCCATCCAAACACCTTTCCAACCCACTCAGCACAATCTGTGCACCACTGGATGCCATCTTCCACGGAGATGGCGATCCAGGTTGCGGTCCAGGTTGCGATTGAGCGGATCCTCGAGTCGATTCAGTATGTGATTTCGGAGATGCTGCCCGCGATGAGTTCGAGCGGAAGAACTGGCGGAACTTATCTCGTGTTTGTGAACGCTGAGGTTGCGACATGATGGGGGAAGCTAAGGAACAATGGCAAACAATTTCATTGCCCATCGATTTCGCACGCGGTTGACCTTTATACAGATCTTGAATTAAATGGAGATTTGTGTCACGAGAACCTTAGAGACTCAGATAGCGTGCCATTGGCTCCCACTGGCTACAAACTCTAACTTGCGTAGAGCAATTCGAGGATCGGTCAAACTCGGACCCTTTGGCCATGCCATACCATACAAGTCTTGTTAGTTTATACTAATATAACATCTCAGTGTATATGTCAAAGTCATCGTTTTCTTGAGCTGTCCGTGTTGACAAATCGAAGTACCGTAGACTTATCTGTCACCGATTTACTTGCCCCATAGTACTACGCGCAGCCACCGCACTACCTGCCACAGCTCTTAGACACTCTCACGGAAACCTACCCATTACTTTTACTTATGGGTTGGAGGTACTCTCGCACTTCCCCGCGTTTTGATACTTCCTATTTGCACGATATAAAAGATTTCAAAAAAAAAACAAAACCCATTCGACCGATGGGCATGGGCCTAGGACGCCTCGCTCATTTCGACAAATGAATTTGCAAACTCAGTGTCTTTCACTACTCCCGCTTCGGAAATCATGGTATGCTGGCCATGGACTCCGCCAGAACAGAACAGAGTGACAACACTGATTGATCGAGAACTGGGTACAGAAGACAGAGCACGGAGAATAGATGCTTGGATGGGCTCACGTGTAGTACACGAGGGTTGGCAGTCACTAGTCAAGCTTCAAGGTTGCATGTCGTGCTAGATTTCGTTGTCCTGGGTGTCATTCTCGAAATGGTCGTTGACTGATACAGCCTGCGGTATTCCCTGCTCCCCCTCCGTCTTTTCTTAACCCTTGTCGCTTTTGTTTCCCATCCGTTTCAATACTGTTTCAATGTCGTCGTCCAAGCGCTCACCAGATACCTGTCAAATACGCGGCAGACAGCTCGACAAATCTATTATCATTCTCGATAAAAAATTAATAACGCGCGCATACTTGCTACCATCGCCACGCCCTGAGATCTCCAGCTCACTCCATTCAGACTTCCCGATCGCCCGGCTTTCCCATTCAAGTTTCAAGTTATTTCTCGTTCAAGACTGTACAGCTCAGCATCTACTCATACTCCTACGTACACATCCTTCATCTACTCGCACTCGAGATTTGGATAGCCACCCAGTACATCCAAGCATCGCAATCATCGCCAACTCATCTCTGAGGCGCGGATCTAGTTTTGGCTCCAGTCCTAGAGCCCAAGTGTTGGTCCTGTGCTTAGAAACCTGAAGAGCCCGACGATGACAAAGTATGGCGACTAAAACTACATTCAGGGCAGATGGAGCAGACGGAAACCTGGATTATGGCTGATACGGTTAAGCCTATGATTGAGCGATAATTTAGCTATGTGTTAATGCGGAGACGGTTCCAAGTGTCTCTTCTGGTACCATTTTCTCCCTTTTTCTGGTTTAAAGGCTTTGACAAGAGCATGAACACCATCGCACTTGAGCTTGAAACCAAGCATATCAAACTCTATCCCGTACTCTCCTCAATCACACAATGTACACTTGGTTAGCATCGCATTGGAACAATATCACTAGAGATATTCTAGTATCACTGAAGCCCCGAGCCTCACATCGTAGTATATAGGAACCGAAGCAACTGGAAAAGGCAGGCAAAGATGAGCTACAGGACTGGGTTGAACTCGGGAACAGACAATCGTAATACATTAGAACGAAACCACACCGAATTTTCATGAAGGACGGATATTCGACAGACCTTCCTAAACTTATGCCAACAGTCATGGCCTACAGCCTACAACCTAAGCGTTACAGGCGCCATGGAAGTCACCACCTTAACATTTCCCCGCCATTGTCCTTCATCTGTAGACGAAACCCATCCCTTCTTCCAAACTTCCCCATCCACCTCGAAACCCAGCCTCCGCTCAACCAAACCGTCGGTCCTGCCAATTGCAATATTATCCTGAAATCCTACAAACGTGCTCGCCATATTTGTCTCTACCTCAAACGCTCCTTCGTATGTCTTGGGCAACGTGATATCCACTGGAGAAAGCGAGGAGAAGGCCTTGAGCTGGAAGTTGCAGAGAGGCGGGGCGGAAGGGAATGTGAGACTGAGCGGTGCGTTGTCGGTTGTGGCAGTGATAGAAAAGTTGCCACCGCATTCGATGGGTGGGGATGAGGTTGAGGCTACGGCTACGGCCGATGCCGAGGGATGGTAAGGTTGCGAGGAGAGGATTATCGATGCTACGATGGGACTGCGAAGACAAAGAAGAGTTTGTAAGTGTTATAACTAGTAATGCTGTGCGTACGTACCCGTTGGTAGATTGCATTGATAAGTCCGAGAAGCTAGCGACATCGGAGCTCTGCAGGAATGCAGATACGCGAATGCTCGAGTTGCTAGTTGTTAGGTTCAGGAGTGAGCTAGCGGCGAATGTGCCTTGGATGGGTGCGTTGCTTGTTTCAATGTTTATTTTCTGGGCATCGAGCGACTATGAAGGAAAGTTTATGAGGGAACATTCGGAATGTGGAAGTTGGGATACGTACGTCAACCAACATTGGCACGTTTGAGCTTCGTAATGAGATAGTACGGAAATGTACAGTCGGTGCTAGATTATCGAGTTGGTGCGCAAACAAGGGCATGTCCGTTTCGAAGTTTTTGATCTTGAGCACGCCGGTTCTACGCTTCGGAAGAGTAATTGTAATTTTGAAGTCAATTCCTTGAAAGTCTGATGATTGAGGACGCGACGTGGTCTGCAGCTAGAGTCATCAACCCGAAAAAAATAAAGCCATTCAAATGACTCACAAATATCCCAACGCCATATTGATTTTCTCTTCCTTGCCTCTTCAACTCGCAAACCTTCACCAAGTCCAAAAGATCCGACGGGAAACATTCAACAACCACTTTTATTGATACACAATGTACATCCAGTTGATCGCTTTGCGTTAGATGGACCGTTCCCGATGATAGGTCGCCGCGAGAAACACCGAATATCCTATCGGCCGAGATTCCAGTAGCGAGAGTGAATTCAGCTTGCTGGCTTGAGTAGTGATTTCGATGTAAGGATGGAGTAGCTGGTGACCAGGAGGCATCGGTATGGAGAGAAAAGCCCTGAGGAATTGGCCAGGTCATTTGGTCAGTTTCCAAGCCTGATGCCAGCGAAGATATAAAGGATATTACTGTACTGCGGACTCCGCAGGCGCCCCGGGAAAAAAGCTAGGAAGTTCCGTAGTAAATGCGATATGTAATGATAAGCTGCGATCTTTTGTGAATTTCTGTGGATTCGAGTTTCAAACTAGCCGCAAATGTTGAATGTCGAATGTTGAACTTGGGAAGGAAGGAAGAATGGAAAACATCAACAAACGTCGGCAGTGGTCGGCTGTGCTTGCCGATAGGAATGACATCACAGCGAGCTAAAGCTTCTAAGTCAATTCTATTAGTATTGGATGTAAGTACCTATCTTGTTTCTACTTACTGTGAAGAAATCACGCTCATCCAAGTACACTCTTGGTGCCAGTCAAAAACCGTTCGGAAGACTGGATAGGTCTAACCAGGACTCGAACCTGGGTTACGGGAAGTTGCTCTCAAAATCCCGTGTGATAACCTCTACACTATTAGACCGTTATGCCCGGTTGTGTTGAATAGATGAATGGGAGCAAGTCTACCGATACCATTTCTCATGCTCTGCGTGACGACAGTAGCTTTGAGGATCGCTCCATCTCTTTGTATCGCCCCAGCTCATATTACCTGCACGCTATCGGGAAGCAGGAACTTACTGACAAAGTTATTCGGCTGCAAAGTCACTGAAAACCGATGGCGACGGTCGGACATGTCACACTCATTTCACCTCAAGGCTCACTAGACCGTGACGCCTTCACGTCTACATTAGTGGCAATATCTCGGGGATATTCGCTGAGCATGGGGATGTACTTTTATTGTGTTTCGGGATGATAATGGGATTGCGAGGGAGGCTGGGTGGATGAAGAAGGTGAGAAGAAGGGTTTTTCGACGACTGAAGAATACGGTGGGGAAAGTCAAGATAATGTAGGAACCGGACAACAACCGGGAGTCAGTGTTGAAAAGCGAGCCTGGTGAACTTCCGTCCGCCATTGGGGTAAAAAAATCCGTCTTAGTATGTACTATGTTGTACGATACATCATATATATATATTGGCCATTATCCCTAGAAACATTTCGAGAAGAATCAGTTCAAACGGATGTGATAAAGCGAGGAATCTTTGGCCTGTTATCTACCTGTTATCTGAACCTGTGCGGTGCGACAGCTGCGAGTTTGACCGAATTTCAAAATGAGGCCGAAGCTTCCTATCTCTCTATCTCTCTATCTCCCAGCTGCCGAAATGGTTCAAATGTGAAGGCTGTGCGAAAGTAAAAACTTGCAACGGCTCTCAGGCTTTCCGTATATAGTATTATAGATTTTTGAGACAAAAACTTGGATCCTGGGTGTTCCGGTCTGTTACTCTTGAATCTCAATTCTTATTAGCTCCAAGTTAGCACTCAACACTGCGGTCAGTCCTCCCAGCTGTGTTGATAGCGAGCGTTCCGATCAAACTATTTGCGGAAGCCGGGAAGGGCCAGGAGCACCGTTAGCGAGAATTTAGAAATTGAGATAGTCGTGCAGCCCCTTATAATTAATCAAGAGCAGTGATTCTGCAGGTTCTCTCGCCACCCAAACACAGTTTGCCGGTAAATCTGTGCTCCCTGCAATATTTCTCGAAATGCGCTCTGCTCTTATTCTCTCCGCACTCCTCACTAGCTCCACACGTGCTGCACCTCCTACACCAGTGTCAGGGTCCACAGATAACGCACAAGCTTGGCTGCCAGGATCATTGTGGCCCCATGTAAGTGTTGCTAGTGGCTTGTTGCTATCATACAACCTAATACCTTTGCATTGCCAGCTAGAGCCCACCGTGACCACGGGCATCACCAGGGTGATTGTAAACTTCATCAATGGCACAACAGGTGAAGCCTTGGGAACCGAGGAGCTTAAAAAGTTCAAAAATCAACAAGCTGTCACCAAAACGATGAGGGATGTTTTTAGATTACCTAGTGAAACGTCCGAAATAACCTACAGAGGTTCGTATTTGCCGCAGAATTTACCGGGCTCGCCGATGGATCGGCAATGGGTTTATGTCATAGTCACTGGAGTGGGTCAGCCGTTTTTTGGATGGATAGCGAAAGGTGGTGAGTGCTCACTCTTGAATCCGGTTCTTCCTGCATTCTTCATAGAATCGCTAGCTAGAGTCCAGCAGGAAGGGTCGACAGCTCGAACTCATAAAACGGCTACCGCGCTGTATGCTGGCCTTGCCTTAGGCGCGCCGCACCGGGGCCCTTTTGACGAAAGGGCCTTTAAGGGCAGACCAGATGCGAAGTTCCTCCAGACGGCTGTTACGCGGGATCAGCAAATCCAATGGAATAAGCTTATGGGCAAGTTTGGGGAACACTTCATGGTACCCCATTCTGTTATCGATGGTCCCGCGTATCCCCAGACAGAGATCACCGTAACCTTCATTGATGGCACAAGTGGTGAAGACCTGGGAACCGAGGAACCTGAATTTCCATCCAAAAGACACTTCACCAGAATTTTCGGTGATCTATTCGGACATAATAGCCAGACGTGCAGCATAACCTACAGAGGTCGGTATTCACCCCAGCATTTACCACAGTCGCCAATGGATCGGCAATGGGTTTATTTCAAACTCACCGGAGTGGGTCAGTGCACGGAGAAGCCATGTTTTGGATGGATAGCAAAAGGTGGTAAGCACTCACTTTTTGAATTGTGCTTTTTTCTCGATAGCTTTGCTAGTAAACTTCCACAGCAAGCAAGCGTACACAAGCTCCTCGGATCCCCCATACTATGTTGGCATTAGCTTAGGGGAGCCCCGCCGGGGCCGGTTTATAGCCTTCAAGGATAGACCTGATGCAAAGCCACACCAGACCACTACCACGCGGCTTCAACAAAAAGAATGGAACACAATTTTGGGCGAGTTTCAGAAACATTTCATGATACATCCCTTGCTTCCCACTACCGTGACCTTTGTTGATAAGAACGGTGGACCGTTGAATGGATATCAGGATATTCCACAGGAGATTGAACCCTTCCTCACCGCACAGATCAATCAAGCTTTAGATGTACCTAAGGGCTCGATAATTTACTGGCACGGTCCATATCCCGCACAACCGCGTTTTTTTATCAAGGTCATCGGAGGGCACCCGTACTGTCTACCTGATGATGCATGTTTTGGGATTGTAAATCAGCCTAATGTTGGTGAGTACCTGCTCCCCGATCTGATTTTCTTCGCATTCCTCATGTAAGCTTTGACATGACAAAAGGCACGCACCCAGACCAAAGAGATATACTCATTCTACAGCCGAAAGTGCGAGGCTCTAGGAGCACTAGCCGCTCCAGTGGGGTTGACATTGTTGGGAAATATCCTGTACGCACTACTATAACAGGGGCTAGATAGGATGATAGAATAGCTGCACAATGAATTTATGCTTCATTGACATCCCAAACATTAGCCTGGATTTTTGAATGAGCGCTTGAACATATTGTTTTGTGCGGGTCTAACATCTTGTATGTATCTAGGTCTTGGACTAGGCTCGGTACTACAGGCAAAAATTATTTGTCAGCCAGAGGTGATCGCGCAACAGGCGTTGGGTGCCATACATATTAGCTTGTCCTATTACTTGGAAAATCCCTTGCTAGCGATCAGACTAAGTACCAATACTTGCTGTGATCATTGCACGCTGGTATCTCAAAATATCCACAAGAAGCTTATACACCTCACTCGTTGACCCTCACCTCACCTCGGCCTGTGAGGTCGGCTTGGATGTCCAAAAGAAGAACATTCGCCTCCTGAAGCAGGTACAGGTCCGCTTTCTCCGCCGCATGCTAGGCCTCTCCCATTCCTCTATCGTCTCAGTCCTCTTTACGGATAACGGAGTTATGCCAATTCGTCTTGAAGGGGCTGCTTGGACACTTAAACACCTGATCTATCTCCTTGAGCTTCACTGCGTCCCGCTGACCCGGGTTCGTTGTAGGGATACCGTACTGCTAATTTTGCGCACATCCCCGGCAAGGACAGGGCCGCTCCTAGAGGTTAAGCGGCAGTCAAAGAAGTGTCGGGGGTGTGGCGGGCACATTGAGACACCCCAGCACGTACTCCTTGTTTTCTGATGCTGGCACATCACTCAAACAATGTGTTTTCCACTGGGACCACGTAATCCCCACTGCCTAGTTTGTCCACGAGGTTCTTCCCCATTGGAGGGCATTCATTAATGACAGAGGGGAGGGTGAGTTGCTCAGATAGTAAAGAAGACAAGGAGGAAAATATAGTTCATTGTGTATTGTACATGTACACCTGTTGATACCCCTTTGAGAGGGTCTGCAGTCTACCTTCCCTCTGTGGGTTGAGCTCGCTGTTAACGTTGCTTAGGCCCTGCTGTTCCCTCGTGGAACCCCGCTGTAGGGCGGAGATAATACTACAGCGGGGCCGAGTATAATACTTCCGTCTTACATCAAAGCTGTCATGAATGAGAACAAAAGAAATCTCTTTCCTCAACTCTACAGTATTCCTACATGTCTAAGCTTGACTTCGTAGTTGTTCCACTCAGCGGGATAGATCAGAACGTTGTGCACAATGTTGGCATTACCTTTGGATATGTCGTCAAGGCGGTAGACGTCGCAGCTCTGCAGAAAGCAGCACAGCACACTGCGGACAAATGGAGACTGCTGGCTGGTCGCGTCGAGTGGGATGCTGCCAGGAAGACTTATCAAGTTCGAGTTCCTGTCTCTAAATCACTTCCCGAGGACTACGCTTCAATAAAATTCACTACCACCGAATTCCCCTCCTTCAGCCTGAACCTACCCTCTCTGGACGAGGACTCGAGACAAATACTCGACAGACCTCCATTGAAATATTTTCGTGCACGCACTACTCCGTCCTCGTTGAATGCATACGCTGCAAAACGCTTTCCACTCATGGCAATCCATGTATCGCTCCTACAAAACTGCACGTGTGTCGGGATATCATTTCCTCATGGTGTGTTCGACGCCATAGGAATGGGCATGGCAATCCGCGGGGTGAGTGCTGCACTAAACAATCTCGAATGGACACCTCCTATGCTTCATGCATCGAATATCAATATTCTGGAGGACACATTATCGAACCTGAGAGAGGCGGATTCTATGGAGAGTGCTCTTCCTAGTGGGCTTCCCAATTTAACGATGGCGCTTGCTCCTCCAACAATCATGAACCTGTTATCTTTATGGCTCTCTATTGCGTTTGAGATGTGTGGGACAGATCGACGACTCGAGCAGTTCATCTTGGGCCTCGAACCGTCGAGCATATAATGGTCAGAATGACGAAGGAGTCAGAGGAATCCGGAAAGCCTCTGGTCTCAAAGGGAGATATGCTTATTGCTTGGTTACTGAAAGTCTGTCAATCCACTTGTACTTATATGGGTAGTGCTCACATCTTAAACAGGCCGCCTACCTTGAAGAGGGATGTAACACTCCCAACAAGATTTCTATTAATTCTGTTTTTTCAATGAGGCAGATACTCTCCGAGATAAACCCTGAATTCGAGCAGTATCCTCATA